CTCATGGTGACACCTATGCTCAGTCGGGGTGCCATAGTGACACCTATGCTCAGTCGGGTGCTCATGGTGACACCTATGCTCAGTCAGGTTGCCATGATGACACCTATGCTCAGTCAGGTTGCCATGGTGACACCTATGCTCAGTCAGGTTGCCATGGTGACACCTATGCTCAGTCAGGAATCTCATATTCGCTTAACACTATAGCTACTTTATGAAGTCCCGCACGACATATTCAAAGACTATCGTAATGTTGCACAAATGGACTTTTTGCTCTTATTTCTGTCACTTATGGAAGACTTTACAAACTTTTTAGATAGGTCACATGATCAGACAGGTCACATGGTCAGACAGGTCACATGATCAGACAGGTCACATGGTCAGACAGGTCACATGGTCACACAGGTCACATGGTCAGACAGGTCACATGATCAGACAGGTCACATGGTCAGACAGGTCACATGATCAGACAGGTCACATGATCAGACAGGTCACATGATCAGACAGGTCACATGGTCAGACAGGTCACATGATCAGACAGGTCACATGGTCAGACAGGTCACATGATTAGACAGGTCACATGGTCAGACAGGTCACATGGTCAGACAGGTCACATGATCAGACAGGTCACATGGTCAGACAGGTCACATGATTAGACAGGTCACATGGTCAGACAGGTCACATGATCAGACAGGTCACATGGTCAGACAGGTCACATGGTCAGACAGGTCACATGGTCAGACAGGTCACATGATCAGACAGGTCACATGATTAGACAGGTCACATGATCAGACAGGTCACATGAGCAGACAGTTCACATGATCAGACAGGTCACATGGTCAGACAGGTCACATGGTCAGACAGGTCACATGGTCAGACAGGTCACATGGTCAGACAGGTCACATGGTCAGACAGGTCACATGATCAGACAGGTCACATGAGCAGACAGTTCACATGATTAGACAGGTCACATGATCAGACAGGTCACATGAGCAGACAGTTCACATGATTAGACAGGTCACATGAGCAGACAGGTCACATGGTCAGACAGGTCACATGGTCAGACAGGTCACATGGTCAGACAGGTCACATGGTCAGACAGGTCACATGGTCAGACAGGTCACATGGTCAGACAGGTCACATGATCAGACAGGTCACATGAGCAGACAGTTCACATGATCAGACAGGTCACATGATCAGACAGGTCACATGATCAGACAGGTCACATGAGCAGACAGTTCACATGATCAGACAGGTCAACATATTACGTGGCCATACAGGTCAAACGGTCAACTAGTGTCGGTTATGTTGTTGCAACAAAACAAAATGGCGGGAAAACACAACCACACAAGGGGCGTGGCATCTACAGACGGTCGCAGGTCATTGCTGGGCTAACTCAAAGCAGACGAGAAGTTTATGGTCAAACGTTAGATCTAAGATCTTGCAGGGGATAACAGTTGATAAATGAATCGTCAGGTTGGGGGGGGGGGGGTGTTCGAACTCGAGACTGTTCGGTTTAGAAACCATGAGCGAAAGCGACGCAACCACGCTTACCGCCAAAGCATCAAGTCATGGAACACAATCAACTTGTCATAGCATCAAGTCATAGTGCACGATCAACTTGTCAAAGCATCAAGTCATGGGGCACGATCAACTTGTCAAAGCATCAAGTCATGGGGCACGATCAACTTGTCAAAGCATCAAGTCATGGGGCACGATCAACTTGTCAAAGCATCAAGTCATGGGGCACGATCAACTTGTAAAAGCATCAAGTCATGGGGCACGATCAACTTGTCAAAGCATCAAGTCATGGGGCACGATCAACTTGTCAAAGCATCAAGTCATGGGGCACGATCAACTTGTCAAAGCATCAAGTCATGGGGCACAGTCAACTTGTCAAAGCATCAAGTCATGGGGCACGATCAACTTGTCATAGCATCAAGTCATAGATGTAATAACACTATATTTACAGTGCACTAAGTCATATACGGCACGGATATACTGACATAAAGGAGAAGGAAATATTATAATCAATTCTTGCCGGCTCAAGTTGGATTTCTCTACATATTATATCTATACAACAATGTAAAAAAAATTATTATGCATTAAAATGTGGTTGTTTTAATAAAAAAAGATAAGTACAAATTATTCAAATTTAAGTTATATATAATTCATTCCAAATTACAATGAAGTTTTAAGTAACCGTCTTAAGTAACCGTCTTAAGTAAACACCTTAAGTAACCCACGTTACCTGTGTGAGAGTCTGAACGTGCAGTAAGTCAACATGACAATGATGACGCGGCGTCACCAGACCCGTCCTCATCAGGATCTCACCGCGCCTACTGGTCAAACCTTTGTCCAGTCTTAACGTGAAGACTTTGCCATCCGCGCTGTTTGTTTAGCTAGGGCTTGTTACAACACACAGGTAAACAGGACAACATTTTTCTGTGCTAGACAAACCTTTGAGGAATCTATTAGCGTTTTTTTTAAAACCCTGACCGCGTTTTCAACGGCGAGCTGGTTTATGAGAAAAACACGAGCTCCTGAAAGAGAATAAAAACAGAAGTTACGAAAGAAAATTCAATGCAATGATGACATTACAACTGTTTTATAAACTGTGTCTATGACACTGAACAGTTAAAGTACTAAAGTATAGTTCTATATTCTGCTGTCAATATTTTAATGGTCTAAAAATAAATCGTATTATGTTACAATTTGAAATTGAGAGTGATTCTGATTTCATTTATATTTTTAACGCCTAGTTTTACGTTTTGTTAAAAAATTCGATCACTTCAAAATAGTATCAAAATAATGAAGATTTAAAACCTAAATAAAAAGGTCTGGTCAGCTCAGCAGGTAGCAGTGCTGGCTACATCACGACTTTCATATGACGTAGTAAGTAAAACTAATGTAAAAGTAAGAGTAAGAGTAAAGTTCATCTTTATACATAACGATCCGTTTGGCAGATGAAGTAGAGTTCGTATGTTTCTTGACCTTGGCATATACAATTATTACACAATAAGAAGCCAGTACTATGACCAGTCGCCTTTATTTTCCCCAACGCAGGTCAGGTACTCATCAACGCTGAGTGGACTCAGGGATGTCCTACGGTCACAAGTCTAAGACTTATAGAAAATAAAATTATTGAAATAGCTTCCAGTTTGTCTAGAACTGTCGCACTGACAAGCTGGGAAGCGTATTTTTTTTTTTGGTACAGTTATTAACAAAGAATATTATACCTAGATAGACTATAACTTAGTTTAAATAATATATTGTCAGCAAGCAATTTAAACTTTTTTAGATTAGAATTAATTCTCAAATAAATGCGCGAATTTATTTCACGATATAACTAACATGCAAATATAAAAGCTAGGCCCCCCTAGTTTAGTGTCTGTTAAGGATTATAAAAAATAATATTTTAAAATTCATCTTATGTTTGTACGTGCTTAACTAAATAATGTGTTAAGTGTACAAATATTTTGTGCTGGTCATACAATAATTAGACTTGTTGTTTAACAAGGGTTTGTTAAACCTAGTTGAAGTTTAAATACCTTAAACGTGACAACATCGTTTGAAAATCTACACCGGGTCTAATATTACCATTAGCGAGGTGGGAAGTGGTCGGTAATTAGCAGTACATTGATTAAAGTTTCGCTTCTCCGTGGTTGGTTTAGATTTCAGAAGAGAGTGGAGTATTGTTGTTTTGTAGGTGTGTGTGTGTGTGTTGTTTTGTAGGTATGTGTGTGTGTGCGTGTATATGTGTAGTTGTTTTGTAGGTGTGTGTGTATTGTTTTGTAAGTGTGTGTGTAGTTGTTTTGTAGGTGTGTGTGTTGTTGTTTGTGTTATCTTTAAGCTGGACTTAATTGTGTGGGTTATGTTTGTGTTAGCTATGTTTGGACGGATTATGTACATGTAGGCTTTGTGTATGTGGGTTATGTAAATGTTGGTTTTGTTTTCATAAGCTTTTTATGTATGGGTATTGTTTATGTGGGTTATGTATATATAGACTGAGTATGCGGGTTATGCTTATGTGGGCTTTATCATGTTGGTCATGTATATATGGTTATGATATGTGGTTAAAGTACATGTTGGCTTTGTATTTGTAGGATATGTACATGTAATGTTGTTTATGTGTGATGTGTGTGTAGGTAATATATATGTTGACTATGCATCTGGGCCTTAGTTTGCCATATTTATTTGGGCTTTATTATGTAGGTTATGTACACGTGGGTTTTGTATATGTGGGCTTTTTTGGGTTATGTTATGTGGGCTTTGTATTTGTGGGTTATGTTATGTCGGTTTGTTTAGGTGGGCTATGTGTAGGCTGTGTATTTGAGCTTTAGTTGTGTGGGCTTATATAAGTGGGCTTTGCTTACGTTTGTCGTGTTTTATGAGTATATGAGACATGTCTACATGATCTATACCTGTGCAGCTTAGTGAGCTTCCCTCTTGTATACACATACAATTTTAGTGCTACATTAAGGAGTTTAGATTCTAAAATGTGCCCATGTATTCTTTTAAGCCTTGAAGTGAGCGAACTGTGATACCAAAATCAGAAAGACGTCACCCAATAACCAGTATGAGGACAGACGTCACTCAACAACCAGGCTAAGACGTCACCCAACTACCAGGCTAAAGACAGACGTCACCCAACAACCAGGATAAAGACAGACGTCACCCAACAACCAGGCTAAGACGTCACCCAACAACCAGGATAAAGACAGACGTCACCCAACAACCAGGCTAAGACGTCACCCAACAACCAGGATAAAGACAGACGTCACCCAACAACCAGGCTAAGACGTCACCCAACAAACAGACTAAGGACAGACGTCACCCAACAACCAGGCTAAAGACAGACGTCACCGAACAACCAGGCTAAAGACAGACGTCACCGAACAAACAGGCTAAAGACAGACGTCACCGAACAACCAGGCTAAAGACAGACGTCACCGAACAACCAGGCTAAAGACAGACGTCACCGAACAACCAGGCTAAAGACAGACGTCACCGAACAACCAGGCTAAAGACAGACGTCACCGAACAACCAGGCTAAAGACAGACGTCACCGAACAACCAGGCTAAAGACAAACGTCACCCACCAAACCATTCTGAGATAACTTCCTGATGTCTGAGATGTGATTCCAATGTTGACCACACGTCGTCCTGCCACAAACTGCCACGCGAGGAGTGAGTAAATGTTTATCAGCATCTGACCGTGCTAGAACAAACAGGACAGTTGCTCAACATGACGTCATTGACAGTTGGAATGTTCGACTCCTTCCGGGGATTATTGATATCATATCTGACGTCGTTGGCCAGCGTTTGGCTCTTGTGTTACTTATCAGCCAACTTGGGTAAGTTTTACATTTAAATACAACATCTCTTGAACCTTTTTCAACATCTATCTTAGTACGGCAAGCACTATTTCTATTAGTGTTACTACTACCGGTTCTCTAATTACACTTTGGCAACGAACAAGACTTTCTGGTCTGGTTACTTTGGAAAATTCAGATATGAAAAATATTTTTATTCACCTACAGCAGCCACTGCCATCCCTACATAATGCAGACTTATCATATCTTGCTTGATAAGTTCTAATTTACCCATAAAATTAAAAGATCTCCGCAACTAACTCATCCACACCAAGCACACACACACACACACACACGAACACACAGACACACGCACAGATACACAGACACACAGATAAACACGCTCTCTTTCTCTCACACACACGCACACACGCAGACATGCACGTACACACTCACGCATGTACACACGCACGCACACACCCACATATACGCACGCACGCACATACACCAACACACCTACGGTGCCAGATCAGATAATTGTTTGGTAATCAAATAACATACATTACCTTTTACCCACCTACCCATCCCCTTTACAAATCCTATTATTATACCTGTCTTCTGTACGGTGACGTGTTTAATATTTCAGCTAGATTTAATTACATAAGCACAAATAAAAACACATTAGGCGAGGATCATTCAAAGCTAAACAGAATAATTTATGTATGTATGTATATATATATATATATATATATATATATATATATATATATATATATATATATATATATATATATATATATCTATATATATATATATCTATATCTATCTATCTATATATATATATATCTATATATATATATATATATATATATATATATATATATATATATATATATATATATATATATCTATATATATATATATATATATATATATAATCCGAATTACATGAAACCAACTTTTTATGATTTGGATTTTTAAAAATCCCCATCCGCCCAAAACAAATGAGATACATCATGTTGCTATCACCAGAAGAAGGCACACATCAATGTTTATCAAACGTCTCTAAAAGAAAATCTTAAGGTCATGGAGTTAACGCGAAACTTTTTAATTTCTTCTGGTTTCCCTGTGGCTGCTGTTTCAATCTTCTCTGATTTTAACACAGCCCAGTGGCTGTATCCGTCAACGTAAAAACCTCTCCTTACAATTCAAATCGTGTTTAATTTTTCCGTTTTATTTCTGTTTTATTTTTTTTTAAAGTCAATTTGGCCACCCATAGTGCTGTAGGCATTTGTCTAGCGAACTCTTGGAGTCTGAAGAGAGAGGGGAAGGAACTCCTGTATTCTGAGGGAGGGGAAATAACTCATGTACTCTGGGCATGAGAAATGGCTCACCTGTCCTACTAAGCGAGGTAATCCATCCGGCGTATCGCTGATTGGGGGGAGGGGGGGGGGGTCGATGTGAAATATTTTTGTACCCCTCACACAGACCGAGGTTCGAGGTTCTAAACACGACAAGACTAAATTTAAGCTGGTAACATTCGTTTAGAAAATGAGATGGAACTATTTTTAACTCTGAAATTGTAAACACTGGTTTGTTCACATTAACCCGAAGACTCATTAAATTATACAAGACACATTAATAATTTAACCAACGACACACCGATAATTTAATATTAGGTCGAGACGTGTCCTCTTGAGAGTTAAGGTGGTATCTATTTCTGTCTGGACCACACGTCTTAGTTAATAACTTTTTTATGCCTGCTAATTAGAATGTGCTTGATTATGTTTTAATTTCTTAATATACGTATTAAGACAATATTTAGTAAAGCAAAAAAAAAAAAAAAAAAAAAGAAAAGAACGAGTACTTTGATTAAATCGACATTTCAGACATAAATATTATGTCGCTCAGCATTATATATAGCTTGTTACAGAATCATTAAAATATCCGATTACAAGACATTTTTCAAATTGCGTTTAACTACTTTAATCTTGAAGATTCTAACGTTTGTTTCATATCCTTTCCAGTTTTTAAAGTAATGTCAGGTGATTATGATTGAATCCTAACTGCTCACATCCATTGTGAAGTGTTAAACCTAATAGAACATTGTTAATCAGTTTACAATAGTTTGTAATTTCGAGTTTTTATAACTTGTCGCCGAAGTGAAAGTAAAATCTTTTTTCACTGACCAACTAGAGTGTTGGGCACACACACACTCTTACGTTACCACACACGCGCACATACGCACACACACACACACACTTACGTTCACACCGTTCACACACACGCGCACATACGCACACACGCAGCCACACACATACGCGAACTCTAACACACACTCACACACTCACATACACACATGCACACACATATACTATCACGCACATACACATACACCGACGCACACACACGCACACAAACACCAACTCACGCACACACACCATCTCTCACACACACACATACACAAACACACAGTGTATTACTACATAGTAAATGTATAAGATTGTGGTTGAGCCTGAAGTTTTAAACCCCACCCAAACCCCATCCCAGTCATGCCTTTGGAGCCAGGCATGGTACCCTTACATTAAAATCAGTGTAGATCATTTACATGAAAACTAGTTGAACAAAGTATGTAGGCGACAAGCTAGACAAAAGGAAAGTTGTATTGACGGGTATCTACCAGAGAAAAGTTGCATTAACGGACATCTACCAGAGGGACGGGGCATTCGATCACGTGACCGTGACAATCATCACGTGATCTCGCGGGTTCAAACTGCTGGGAAAGGTCAATGTCATTATCCGGTGGTGCCGTAAACATGGGGGTGATGACGATAATTACCAAGGGTGGGGTGGGGTGGGGATGTTTGGCTGGAAAGAGATGATGCGTAACAAAGGCGAGTGAGGTGGGGGGGGGGGAGGCTGTGAGGGGTGGGCCGCTGCCCACCAGTCAATGGGGTTATCTATGATCAGTTGTGATCGGTTACTTCCCTTGGTTCTGTGTCGACAGCCGCATACGATTTAGTGTTGTAGTTAGTGGGCAGGGTAGTTTGTGGGCATGGTAGTTTGTGGGCAGGGTAGTTAGTGGTCATAATAGTTTGTGGACAGGGTAGTTAGTGGGCAGGGTAGTTAGTCAGCATTGTAGTTAGTGGGCAGGGTAGTTTGTGGACATAGTAGCTTGTGGGCATGGTAGTTTGTGGGCAGGGTAGTTTGTAGGCAGGGTAGTTAGTGGGCTGGGTAGATTGTGGGCAGGGTAGTTTGTGGGCAGGGTAGTTTGTGGGCAGGGTAGTTTGTGGGCATGGTAGTTTGTGGGCATGGTAGTTTGTGGGCATGGTAGTTAGTGGGCTGGGTAGTTTGTGGGCAGGGTAGTTTGTGGGCAGGGTAGTTAGTGGGCTGGGTAGTTTGTGGGCAGGGTAGTTTGTGGGCATGGTAGTTTGTGGGCAGGGTAGTTTGTGGGCATGGTAGTTAGTGGGCTAAATAGTTTGTGGGCAGGGTAGTTAGTCGGCATGGTAGTGTGTGGGCATGGTAGTTAGTGGTCATAATAGTTTGTGGGCTGGGTAGTTTGTGGGCAGGGTAGTTTGTGGACAGGGTAGTTAGTGGGCATGGTAGTTAGTGGCAGGGTAGTTTGTGGTCAGGGTAGTTTGTGGTCTTCCGTGCTTGAGGCAGTGTTCAGATGTACAGGTCTATCTCTACAATTTTACAACACCTTACATTGGTGCAACACGGCGACCACTGTGTATCACTTGATGTACTTGTACCGTCCTGATTTCGTGTGATAAGCTCTGGTTGGCGAGTGAATTAGCTATCAGCCTTGATTACGTTTGTCATCATTCATCCGAAAAATTCTGATTATCACAACCAGTTGTGTGGTGGGAACGGTTGGTCGACAGGTAAACCGACACCTCCGCTTAATCAGGTGGGACATTCACATAGCGGCATTAGAGTAGCATTCATTCATTCATATATATATATATATATATATATATATATATATATATATATATATATATATATATATCGTGACTAGGAAATTATGCCGATGTACACACATACCAAGCGTATATTCTTCCCCCCCACCCATCCCCTTACAATGTGATTGCTAATGTGCATCTCATAGGTAAGAAGTGAAGAAATGAAAACGAAGACATCTATGACGTATGTAAACACAACTACTCACCTTTTGTTTTCATTTATTTACCTGAAACCCCCCCCCCCCCCCCCCTCCTCCCATCCATGGATCAAATACTATCTAGGTCAGCATTTATTAATTACAGGGAGAAATATTTACGTAATTGACCTGTCGTGTTTATTGATGTGTTTACCTATTAGTTTCCTGATATCTTTTCTAAACATTTGTTAATGTAAACAGCCGTCTTCCTTACAGGATAGCGGAGAAGCCAATTAAAAATAATTTCTGCGAAAATATAAAACAATATATTATGACATTTCTGAAAAAAAAAAGTAACATTTAAAATGTAGCTGTTAATTGTAAGATGGCTAGACTGCTAACCTGAAAGTCTCGAATTCGAATATGGGTTCAAGTCAGTACAACGTTGTGGACACAGACTTGTGAACTAGAGACGTTGTGTTGATTTAAAGCTACTTTTAAAAATGTAGGCATGGACAACCACATGCTACTTTAGCGGTCGGTACATAAGGGATTTGCTACATTATGGGTCGATATATTACGGTCATTGCATGAGGGAGATAGTATATCAGGGGTCAGTAAATGAGAAAGTTGGTACATAAGGGGGTCATTACATTAGGGAGTTGGTACGTCGGGAGTCATTACATGAGGTATTTGATTTATCCGGGGTTGGTAGATGAGGGAGTTAGTACATCAGGGGTCATTACATAAAGGAGTTGGGTACATCAGGGGTCATTACATAAGGGATTGGGTACATCAGGGGTCAATACATAAGGGATTGGGTACATCAGGGGTCATTACATAAAGGAGTTGGGTACATCAGGGGTCATTACATAAAGGAGTTGGGTACATCAGGGGTCATAACATAAAGGAGTTGGGTACATCAGGGGTCATTACA